AAGTAACCTCTTCTCCTATAGATCAAATCCTACCTTTAATGTTATTTGTACAATAAATCCCCATTCTCTTCAATGAGTCTATAGAGATGTAACTGATTATTGAATTTGGTCTTTCTGTTGGAACTTAATACTAATAATATATGAACTAGAATAAACTTCTGTTTACTGTCCTATTGCTGTCAAAACTTAGCCAGGCTACAGTTAACAGAAGGGATAAAAAGACAGAGTCTACACAATGAAAACCTTTTCAGTAAAGATGATGCTTTTTAGTAGACTGGTTTAATGTGTCTGGCCATGTCTTGTGTGAGGTGGGCCTGCTATTTCTAGCTATAGTGGATTATCTAGCTCTTCAGCTAGTTGGTGAGGTCATGTTTCTAACTTTAACTGAATCTGATCCACCAGCTCAGAATGGGAGACAGCCCCTGCATGTTGTGTAAATACTTGCCTTATAGGTAAATCTGTGTCTAGTGCTGCCATTTTCATGTTTGCGAAAGCAGGCCCAGCATGGACTAAGCAATCAGTGAGATGACTAAAGCAGAATGCCTGCCAGATGTAATTGTGTACAGTATAATCTTGCCTTTGCTAAAGAATCTATTAACAAAACCTCAACTTAACACATGGCCTGAAAAGTAATTTTTTTGTTACATGTGTCACCCATAGGGTTAACTAGGGTGCTAGTTGCTAATGCTTCATTTCCCAGATTGTTGCAGAAATAGAAGGTCAGGCTGCAGAACAGTTCATTAGCTATATGAACTAAAATATACGCTCTTGAAACAGTGCCCCAAAAGGGACAGGCAAAACAACCCCCTGGGCTCTTAGCTCATCTCCATAGCAGTATTTCTCCTCATACATACCTTGGGATAGCAACTGCTATCTCCTAATCTTACACAGCACGAGCAGCTGTTCACTACTTCATAGGTTTGACCGAAGTATCCTTATCACAGCAAATGCCATCAATGGCCACACCTCTTCTAACAATGGGGATTTGGATTCTGAAGGGCTCTACAGCTACATGTGAGCTGTCTGTCAGAGAAGGAAAAAAGTCCTTTGGTAGCTGTAAGGTGTGGAAGCAGAGGGAATGACAGAAGTAAAGTATATAACTCACCTTGTACATGCACTAAGGCATCTGGCTATATGTAGGGCTGTGCTTCTCCTGTAATCTGTTCTCACTGAACAGGCAAGCACCCTAGAAATCCAGTGGCAGATAAAATTGCATTCAGCAATGGGCAGAGTTAAGTTTCTTTCTTACTTAAATTTTCCATTTTAAGGTGCTGGTAACTCTTGCATTGGTTACAGAAGTCTTTGGGGAGGGAGAAATAGGAGATGCAAGCAGAGGGTTTTGGCAGTTGAGTACAGGAAAGCAGGGTCACTCTTGGCACTGGGTCACTTAATTCACCGCCACTGTCATGTGGCATTTAAAGAGCATTGTAACCTCAAAATAGAAACAGGGACCCCTGTAGTTTTGATACACTTTATTTTGTACAGTTAGAACAAAAAATGAAATGTGAAATGAACAGAGCGCACAGTGCAATTTTGAGAGCACTCAAAAGATGAAAAAAGTTCAGGCGCAACAGGATCTCCCATGGTGAGTATAAGGGAACAGTTCACCTTTACATCAAGCAGATGAAAAAACTGACAGCATCAGGGACTGAAACAGTTTTTAAATAATGGCCAAAAACTTTATAAAAGTGTGTACTCTACACTTACATTGGTTTTTTAGTACAAAATCTGAGAAACAGCAAATCCCCGTTGCTTATAAAGTTTGCCCTGCATCTCTTCCCTATTTCCCTCCTCCATCCCCTCCTCCACCCTCTTCCTCCCCATCTCATGCACGCCCCGCCATCCTCCAGGCCTAGTTACACTGTTTTGTTCTTCTGGAACAGAAAGCCCGGATACAATTCCTAGGAGTAGGAGTGGTGTGCTCTCTCTATAGAAACTGAGCATTCTGCCACGGATAAGGGATTTTAGAATTGAATTTGCTGCCTCACAGCTCTGAGCTGGTACCCAGCAGAATGGTGACCCACCCAAAATGTTGATGAAACTTATCTTACAGGGTCTGCATTTAGTGACTATATTAAAACAAGCCTCATGTCTTATAAAAAGTCCCAAGCTAATAAGGAGGAACTCTGAACTTCACTGATTTTCTGTTCCTAACTCTTATATTACCAGAAGTCTACTAGCAGCCATGTCAAAAATTAATACTGAAGTTATTTACCATAGTGGTAAAAAGTGGTCCAGTTGCATGGCTAAAGCTGGAGATCTGGCTGGGGCATCATATGGTAATTGGCCATTAAATATCCAAAGATCTGTATCCAATTGACACAGAGACCAGTAGCAGGAAGAGGAGATTATTTACCTGAAACTAGAGGTTCTACATAAGAACGGCCGTACTGGGTCAGACCAAAGGTCCATTTAGCCCAGTATCCTGTCTACCGACAGTGGCCAACACCAGGTGCCCCAGAGGGGGTGGACCGAAGACAATGATCAAGCGATTTGTCTCCTGCCATCCCTCTCCAGACTCTGACAAACAGAGGCCAAGGACACCATTTTATCCCCTGGCTAATAGCCTTTTATGGACCTAACCTCCATGAATTTATCCAACCAAGATGTATGGTTCCTATTTGTATTCCAAACATTGGGATTGGCGTGCAAGCAATCTACCTGAGCCAGACTGTTTTCTTAGCCATGTTTATTGAGCCACATGTGTGTTGTGCATCTCCTCAGGCTCACAGCCCAGGGTATTATAGTTTGAGAGAGTCAACACCTTTCCAGGATCTCACCTACCGTCTAGCCTGCAGCAGAAAGGATAGAGAACAGGTATTGGAAATACAAATAGAGACCCTGCAGCTTGAATTCCCTTCATTTACATCAGGGGTGGGCAATAAAAAAAAAAAACCGCTGCTGCTATGTTTACCTGAGTCTCCGGCGGTATCGAAGAATCACAGCTATGGATAGCATTGGTGCAAACAGCAATTTGTGATTATCAGAGGGAAGCATCATGGACTGGGACACCACTTCCCAACGCTCACATTGGCCACCAATGGTGATTGGCGGCCAATGAGAGCTGAGATCTTCCGATACCTGTGGAGGTGCAGGTAAACATGGAAGTGGGGGCCCACCAGGGACTGCAGACTGGATCTGGAACCTCTTCTTCCTCAAGTGAGGGTCCCACTATGTGTTCCAAACACAGGTGAGTAACAAGCAGTGATCAGCATGGGGCTGGGTGTGAGGATAAGGTAGGTAGTGCCATTTGCAGTACAGTGCAGCCACTGCTTGGGCTATGGCCTAGTGCAGTGGTTCTCAACTCATTTCAGTCCACGGACCACCAGGCCAATCAAAATGGACCACCAGGACTCAGCACGACGGCGGCAACTACACTGACGCTCAGAGCCTCAGACAGAAGTTACTGGCAACACAACACAGTTGCGTCCTAGGTGATGCTATGGATGACGCACCGCGTGCTTGTGAATACGGCATAAAACAGCCTAATGGTGGTGCCTGCTCACGCCGTGTGACTTTGGACAATGTTCCTGTGGACCACCGAAAAAGTCTCCATGGACCACCAGTTGAGAACCACAGGCCTAGTGGGATGTGACTATGTGGACAGTGTACCATGATGCTCTGCAACAGATGTCCTGTCATGGAGACAGTTGTAAAGCAGGATAATGTAGCTGCTTACAGCTTTGAGAATGACTCGACTTGGTGGCAGCACACTGGATTGTGTATAGCATTTGCAGATGCATCTGGAGATCCTATTGGAGAGTCATTGGGAGGAGAAAGTGTGGGTTTTGGATTGACTGGCAATGGCTATAAATGGTTTCCACAACATGCAGGAGTGAGTCTTGCATAGACAGGCTGCTAGTGCACAGTGGACACTGAGGGAATGCAGGACTCTGTGTGTGGTTTGAGACAGAAAACAGGTAGGTGGATGAAGTGGCTGATAGAGGATATGGCAGAGGATAGTGGAGACAGTGGTGTAGACACATCAGGCTGAAGAGGCTATACCCAGAATGGTTATTACACCACTATTTTTGGGTCAAAATGGAAGGCCTTAGTTCCAATTATTTTTAACCACCCCAATATTGGAATGGGAATATAGATTTTATATTGACTTAAATTCAATCTTATCCATTTTGAATATAGATACTAGGTTAACCTACTTCAGGGGTGGGGAATCTTTTTAAGGGGCAGGAGCCACTGACCCACAGAAAAATCAGTCAGGGGCTGCACATAAGTGAGAAAAAAACCCTCGTCTCATCACTGTGGGCTCCACCATGCTGGGGGGAGCCCTGAGCTTCAGGGGCCAGATCAAGGTAAGCCAGGGGCTCTATTGAGCTCTTAGGTTCCCCACCTCAACCTTCTTCCATTAACCCCTCAAATTCTGTATTTTAAATGTAGTAGGAGGGCAACTTTTAATGCCAATAAGTATGCTACTATCAATTAACACATGCCAAAGACAACTAAGCACAGTAGACTTCCAATAATCCAGAACCTATGGGACTTAGGTGGTGTCGGATTATCAGATCTGCTGGACTATCAGGAGGTACTATAAGCAGGTTATACATATATACTGTATACTGTATATAAAGTGTTCTTAACCCTTTTTATTGTACATACTGTATACAGTATACTGTAATGTTTTAGTTTTTTTAAGCCTTTTTTACCCTTTTTGCTCAGTTCAGCTGCTGCCGCTGTTACCTTGTGACTCGTTTTTTGCCGAAGCTCGCTCAGTAGGCTCTTGCCATTTTGATGCTGGACTATTGGAGTTTTACTGTATTAGGCTTGGCCTTATGCACGTTGGGGATGGAAGAATACATTTTTGTAGGGTTGGATATAATGAAAATATAAAACTGTTTTACTGACATTAACAGAGTGTTATGGAGGATCAATTAAATATTTAAGTTAAAATAGGAATTTAGTACCGTTAAACAAAAGTTACTGTTTACAATAGCTATTTGTTTTTGTTATTGAAAACACAAAGATAGTTAAAATAGGAATTTAGTACCGTTAAACAAAAGTTACTGTTTACTATAGCTTTTTGTTTTTCTGTTATTGAAAACAAAGATATTTATAGTTCATTGTTAAAATAAAAGAAATTTGTTTTGAAAGGAAAAGGGGGTCTCATTATTTACATCTTTCAGAAGAGAAAGCCTAATGGTGGAAGATGTTTCTATTCATCTTGGCTCTTCTGAGTATTAGTATCTATGGGATTCCACTTTGTATCTATGAAATTTGAATCCAGGCAAGACCATTGTACTCTCGTAGGCTTGGAATTTTGTCAAGCCAGTGAGGAGGGCTGCTAGGGTGGCAAACTCCAGCACAAAGTGTCTATGGTAACGAGCAAGAAACTGCCTCACTTGCCTCTGATGAGAAGATTGAGCAGGCTTAGGGATTGAACCTTACCCCCTATTGGCTGCAACTGACCACACTCTACACCACGTATCTCAGGTACATTATCTCTTTCTGTTCCAGGTGGCATTCCAATGGTTTTGTAGTTAGCCTGGCTTCCCCAAGGGCACTGAGGTGTCATGGATGATAGCTCCCCAACTGGCACGGTCAATATAAGCTGCTGTTCATTGATCAAGTAGCCAAAAGTGCTGGTCCCCCAAGCCATTGGAACACTACAACCATGCTATGTATGGGGCTGCGGTAAACTGAAAAAGGTAGAATGGTGTGACAAAGGCTGTCTTCTCCCAGGAAGTTGGACTCAGGAGAATTTGCCAATACCCTTTTGTTAGATCCACTGTAGATCTAAATTGTTGGGGTTCCCTCTTGTCAAACAATCACAGTCAAGGGGCTCAGGACCCTGGCAGGGCAGAGCAAAAAAACAGTCCAGAGCCCTTGGGATGGGACAGAGCAAACAGTCTGTAGCATCTGGGCCTCCTAGCCAGAGCGAAGAATAACAGTTGGGGGCCCTAACCCTCTGGACAGGGCACAGAGTGAATCATGAGTCTAAATCAGGAGTCCCCAGTAGCAATGCCTAGTGGTAAGCGGCTGAGGGGGGAAGTAGGGGAACCTGAGCCCTCCCTACTCCACTGGGTTTGAAGCCAGGAAATTCTGTATTAGGAGCCCAGGCTTGAACCCTTAACATATTCCCTGGAGCACTTCCTACCAGAATGACCATCTTCTCAGCTGGCAGCAGCTCAACACCCATCAGTCACCATGGTGAGCTAATCGCCTGCAGCGTAGTCTGCGTTCACAGTCCCAATGGCCTGAGGAGTCAACAGCTCCTCTGCAGGAGCCTGAAGCACATGTTCTTCCTCCTTCGCTGGCACTAACTGAGCTGGGCTACCTCCTTTTATCTGTCCCCTCCAACTGGAGCGTGCACAACAAGAACGAGGGGGGCTGGTCTCTAGTGACTGGTCAGCACCAATTGGCCCAATGCACGGTTGATATGCTCCATCACATACCTGAAAGTCAAAAAGTCCCATAACAAATGTATCTGGAGAGAGCCACAAGGACAAAAAGCTATTTATACAAACCAATTCTACCTATACAACCTCCAAAATCTAAAAGCACCCCAAGATTGGCAAATAGGGTTATAATGAAAACAATCTAAAGAAAATTTACAACTTCTGCAGCTGCTGATCTCACTAGTAAAGCAAACGTCACCAAACTGTGAGGCAGAACCCTTGGGGTGGGGGTGCAATGAAACATTCATGGGGGGAGAGCCTGAGTTAGTTCCCACAAGGGGCAGGGAGGGAGCACTGCCCAACCCAGCCTTGCCCTGCTCCACTCTGGCTCCACCCCCAGCCATGGCCCCAGATCCCCACACCTGGCCCCCATCCTCAGCCTCAGTGCAGCTCCGCTCCCTCCCGGGGAGCAGCTGGCTGCCAGCCCCCACCAGAGCCCAGCACACCCCTGGCTGCAGCACTCTCTCTGGCCCCAATGCCAGTCCCAAAGATCACCCCGCTGCTCTGACCCCCCCCCCCAGCCACACACACACACACACAAATTAGAAGAAGCCAAAACTAAACACCCATTACCAGGTCTGCGCCAACAACATCCACATCGACATCTTCTGGTCCCCCATCTACTGAGAAGTCTTCTGTCTTGATCACATCTTGGCTAGAATGAAAAGCCAAGTAGTTTAGTTCCTGACCCGAAAGGTTCTACTTAGGATGTGTTTTGCTTGCGGCACTAAAAGAAGAGGACAAGTTTCACGTGATACAAGTTGCTTTTAGGATTCTTGTACAAAGAAGCTCAACAGCTTTAGCCCAAAGTTCGAAAGAGCTTCATTATATTCTAATAAAAATGAATTTTGATTCAATTTACCATCAACCAACCAAAAAGTGTAAGAAAAATAACACAAACCACCTATGAGTGTCCAATAAATCCACTTCAGAGGAGGCTGGGTGGGCATTGTCATCTAGGAAACTGCCTTTCTGGTTGGCCTGAGTTTGAATTTCTCTTTAAATCTTACATCTAAGATTAGAGACAATACTGTTTGATTTTTCTGTTTGTTCCCTTGGTTCAGTGGATGGCATGTGGAATCTAGCCATAGGCCCTGTTTTGTTTATAATGTTGGGCCCTTCTTCCATTATATCATGTTCTGTGTGGAGCTCCTACACACTTGGCCTCAAGTCTCGCAGGAGGAAATTAGCATCAGCTTCAGGGCTGCTGAGGCCAAGACAGAGTGTTCTTCAATTCCTTTCTAAGAAATAAGAGAGCTGGGGCCAGGTGGGGTGGAGATACATCCTTCTTCACTCGCAGCCCCAGGGCTGAGAAGCAACCAGTAACTGGAAAGCCCCCTTTGTGCTCCATAGAAAGTTAGGGAGTGATTCAAAAATTGGCTTAGGGGACTAGGAAACCCCATTCTTCCCTCTACAACCCTTTGAATGTACAAGTCAAGCAGGAAGCTTCCTCTTCTTTCCCCCGCTGCCTAAATGACTAGGGAGCAATGGGAGTCCGGGTGGGTTGGGGAGAGGGCTGTAACACTCTGTATAGGTTCAAGAGGAGAACACAAGAGTTGGAACATAGAATCAGCAGTGTGTGGCCCCAGGCAACTGCTCTGTGGCAGCATTAAGGAGCACTCTTTGTGTTCAAGTCCTATAAGGCTGCAGCTGCACACAGTTTTGCAGTCTGCATATCTGAAAAATTCCAGCTCTCACTAGAGACTTGTAAGCAATTTTCCCCTCACCTACTACATCTTCTTTTCAACTGGGCAGGACAATGGAATGGTGGATATTCCTGGAGGCTTGTATTGTGAGACTTCAACCTCTTTCTCCTTTTCCCTGCTGCAGCAGAGATTTCTGGAGTGCACTGGAAGCCTGGAGTCTTATTTGTTGTTTCAGGCAGGAACCCTGTAACAGACAATCAATAGAACCCTCGCTCTCTGAGATACTAGGAGAGGAATACCTCCCACAGCCCAAGAGAAAGGGAAAAGCGGTATTCGTTACAACGGGTACAGTCACTGTAGAAGACAAATTAATGGAGACTCTTTGAGCAAAGCATTCATTTTAAAATACTCACTGTGTTGAATGACCCGGCTAAAACCTCTATACAAAAACACTAAAATGACAGCTGCCCAATGGCTGATTTTGCACAGCGTACATGAGGCCTCCAACTTACATTTTTTGGGTCCTGACTCCTTCTCCCCAAGATATAGGGCACTGTCAGCACTGCATAAACTGAGCATGTAGCTCCTCTAGAAAGGCAGACTGCTTTTGTGACATGCTGCTGCAACTCCTCCTGTCCCCACACAGATACGGGGCTCTGAAGGCAGTCCTATTAACTCCTCAAAGGAAGGTGTGCAAAGCACAGCTCTGAGGGTGGCTGTAAGCCAGGAAAGGAGGAATTAAAAAAAATCCTCTCATTCTCTTTGTTTCTTCTAACAGAATACATCCCAAAAATAGAACCAATAAAAATCTGTTGTTAGCACTTCTATAGTAACTTTTTGTGTTATTAGAAGGCCTTCATAAAATGTGTCTAATCCTCACAATATGACGGAATCAAGTAATACGAGCCTCATTTACACCTGGGAAAACTGAGGCAGGGAGTTTAAGTGAGTCCCGAAAGGCTGCAGAAGGCAGGAATGATAGCTGGAACTAGATCACAACTGGAGAGTTTCTGGCTCCCATACTCAGTTCACTGAACCAAGCCTCTCTCTAGAGAATGATGAAAACAAATCTGAAGGGGAGGAAAGGGGTTTAGAATGGCAAGTCTACAACAGTCCATGCACTGCAGTATTTTAATGCAATATGTGAACAAATCCATTTTTACTGAGGACACAAGAAGTCAGATTTAGCAAGATAGTGGAACTATCATACCGTTGGATAATTTTCTTTTAAATGATGTCTTAGATCCGCCTATGGATGATTCTCTTGAACTGCTGATGATAGAATTCACCTCATCTTCATTTGCCAACAAAGAGTTTCTGTACCAAATCAAGGGGTGCCATTCATCGCCTCTGCAAGATGCTGGCTCTGTTATATACCTCTGCAAGTACCCATACCTAGTTAAATGGCAAAAATTAGAAAAATTGAAGTCTCTTTGGTGACTATCTAGGCTAGCCCTTCTTGCATTTGTTTTTTTCCTCTGCAACCAGGGAACCAGAACCAGAACCAGACCCATCAAGCAACAGAAAGAGGGCGAGCCTGACACCCCCTTCCTGAAAAACAAATCAGTGTGAGCACTTCCAAAGCTGAAAGATTGCTCACAACGTAACTCTTGATTCCCAATAATTATGGAGCCACATCCATTTTTAGTACCATTTCCTACACTCTCGCACAAGGTAAGCAACTGCTTGTTGCTGCTGCCAGAAGGAACTGAGTGGGTAATTTTCTTGCAAAATAATTGCTCCCCAGCAGCAGAAAGGTCTAGTCCGCCCTCCTCAACTGCAGAGCAGAGGAAAACCCAACAGAGACACTCCCTTTGATTTCACAGCAAGACAAAACGTCACATCAAAACTCAGAATTGCAAGTAGGGGCCTCACTGCCTTTCAGCTACATGATAGCTTCCTTTCAGCTACATCATCACTTCCAATCCTGCCAGCACTGCTAAACCAGACCCCACGTTACAGCATATGCACAATGAAAGCATTATAATTTTTAATATATTAATTATAGAGAGAGAGATATTTTAGAGAGAGTGTGCATCTGTCTGATCATGAGTCCGTCCGTCCATGAGTCTGTTTGTTCATTCAAGTACTCCTAAACAGTAAGAATTAGGACCCCCAAATTTGGCATGCAGCTTTCTCTTCTCCTAACTTAAAGCAAGGTCAGGGTTTGGTTGTGGCAGGACAATAGGATGTGCCTGGGTTCTGTTTTCCATAACACAGAAAAGGAGAGGTCTGAGAGCAAGGACAGCTATGCTCTGCAATGACCACTGATACTGTAAAGGGACCACAGGGAAGAGAGTGGCCAGCTTCCCCCCAGAGGCTGGGGCTGCACTGCCCATGTAGCAGCTCCTTCCAGGAGGGCTGGTGGCTCCTTCTAGGAGGGCTGGGCAGCACAGCCCCTACTGCCATGGCCCCTCTGGGGAGCACCACTAGTCAGGCAGTGCAATCCCAGTCCCCCCAGAAGGTGTCGGTGCCAGAGCAGCACCACCCTCACTGCCGTGGGTGGCCCTGGTAAACCCCCCTCTGACCTTCCAGCCCCCTGCCCTGAGCCCCTCATCCCCTACCCTGACTCCTGCATCCCCATCCACTGATCTGAACCCCCCCACCACCACCACCCCTTCCAATCCACTGCCCTGAGCCCCATACACCTCTCAGGGTTCCTCTAAGATGTTTGCATCTATGAGCAGAGTGAGTTTTGTCTTGTGCACCAGTATTGAGGTTGCAGTGGCACCCCCCCGTTACTAACAAATATATTCGCATTACAGATACATTTTTTAAAACGTTATGGAAGAAAGAAGATTTACACAGTCACAAAGAATAAAAAGAGCTGTTAAATCAGCACTTTCACTCACACATCTTTATTATTATGGCTGACCCTAAGTGCCTATGTACTGTATTTGTCCCCCAATCTGCTTATTGACTCCCCACACACATGTGATTTGTCACCACACACAACACTGAAAGCCTGATAGTCATTCTGAATGGGGGCTTCCTAACAAATGAGCCTGTAAATAAAGACTTGTGATGGTTGCAGCAGGTAGAAGAACAATCCCATTTAAATTGTTTAACTATAAAAAATTTAGTTAAGATCAGATAGCTGAAACATGGAAGGAAAAGATGGAACTAAACTTTGCTAAAATACAGAAGTTATCAAAGCCCAGACCAGAAGAGATCTCAGCTGGAAAAACAAATAACCTTGGTCAAAGCTTAAAAAAAAAAAATGAACAGCAGTTTATAAATGTAAGCAACTTAAATGAGTCATTTGTTCATAACTTGCAATTTACACACGACCCCCCAAAGAAGCTCTCTGAAAGTCTAAAATCATTTTAAAAACAAAAAACCTCAAAACTTCAGCTAATAAAAGGTAAGCCAAGAAAGTTTAAAATATTTAGTCTCATAATAAACATAGCAAGGGATCTCAAATTTTCAAAAAAAATACTTTAATACATATACATATATATATATATATATATATATATATATATATATATATATATATATATATATATATATATATATATATATATATATATATATATATATATATATATATATATATATATATATATATATATATATATATATATATATATATAAAATAAATCAGCTTTTTAAAAATGTCATTAAAAATCTATTCAAATATCTTATTCACGGTTGCAAAACTCAAAGCTACTCTTTATCTAGCCGCGAGCATCTACTGATAACCTTAACTTACTTAGTTAACTCTTCAAGTGTCCTGATGCTTTCACAAAGTTTAACTTTTTTTTTTTACTTAAGGGGTTAAACATAAAATAAGTGAAAATAAAAAGATAAACCCAAAATAAACACCCTGAATCCCTTTGTCAATAATAAAGCAACTAAAACAATTAAAACTATCATTAAAATAAAAATGTAAAAATAATTATAGGTATTCCTATAAAATACAAAAATTAAATAATTCTTACTCAAAATCTTTTAAAAGCTCAAAAAAGGCCTGGATGGTTTAAAAACAAAAACGAACTTGGCACGCATGCACACACAGGCGTGCGCACAAGAAATTAATACCAGAGGTGTTGCCAGAGTAGGGAGGTTTATGTGTATTTTATATTATTAACACGACTTCAATTTAGAAGGCAGCCTAGAAAATATCAGAGCTTTCATCAAAAGAAGAAAAAAAGAGTCCTGGGAAGAGACTCAGATAATTAGACAGAGGTAATGAAGTCTCAAAACACTGATTAAGGAGTATGTTGGTTTCAAACAAGTGTGTATTGTAACTAAAGTTATAGGGTCTAATCCAACTCCCATCGATGTTAATGGAAAGAGTCCTATTTTCAGGGATCAGGCTCTTAACACTGTTTTTTATTTAATAAAATTACTTAAAAGTAGCAAACACCAACTGATAAATAAAATATTTTACCACTAAATGCCATATACTTAGAACACGTTGGTTATATTCCCTTCTAACAAATGTCGTTAGATGTGTTATAGGTGCATTCACAAATGTTGTGCAGGTCTGTAGACCGGTACTGTGCCTGATTAATAATAATAATTAAAATAAGGTGATGGTTTTTTTTTCAAAAGTTCATGTTGACTTAAAACATTCCTTCCTATAATTTATGATGCAACTAAATCTAAATATTTCTAAAAGGAAATATAATCTCCAGACCCTGCCAGGCATTTTGAGTCTCCCAGAATAGAAACTGTTAGTTTAAAAACATGGCTTGAGTGTCAAGTTGTAGATAAAACTGCAATTTGCCAATCTTATGAACTCGTTTTTCATTTATTTTTGATACAGATGGGCAAGTCAAAGACAGCTGAAGATAAACTCTAGGCAGTGTCTCTTGCTTTGTTCCCCACAAGAGTGGTCAAAAGATGAGCAAATCAGTAGGAATATTCCCATTGTGGAAAAAAATTAGACACTGCGTTTGAAAATTATCATGAAAATTTACCAACTTGTCCATCCTGCTGATGAGATTTTTTCCTTTATCATTAAAAATGCTCTCCTTAGACAAGTTGGTAAATACGAGTTTTACAAAGTTTGATTCACAGAAATCCACCTGAGATTTAAAGAACAATTGCTGAAACCAAGTCCATGGAGTGATGGCAGAATTAAAAAAAAAGTTTGCAGAAGGTACAGGCTGAACCTTTGTAATCCCTGGTCCAGCAACATCTGTTATCCGGCAGGACCACAGGTGTTCCAGGGCTGGAGAGTCCTGGTGGAGGGCTGGCGGTTGGGCTCCTCGCAACTGGGCAGCCAGGTATAACCCAGAAGGGCTGCCTGATGGGCCAGGAGCCCTGCGCACCACAGTGGGGCTGCCTGGGGGGGGGAGGGAGGGAGGAGAGGAGCTCAGCACTCCACAGCGAGGCTGCCCCCAGGAGCCAGGCGCACAGGGAGCTGGGCTGCCCGGCACAGCAGAGAAGGAGATAGGAGGACCCGCAGGGCAGCAAAGCTGGTGGCAAGGGGGAACCAGGCAGGAGACTGGCGGCTGGTCCAAGGCTGGGGGGAGCTAGTAGCAGGAGAGCCAGATATGACCTCCCCTGTTCCGGTAAAATCCCTCATCTGGGACCAGTCAGATCCTGAGGGTGGCCAGACCAGGGAGGTTCAACCTGTACAATCTAGTGGTACACACAAGAGTTCCTGGCAGGCAAAAATGCTAAAACAGAAAGAGTAATACTACTAATTATAGATTGATCAAAAGCAAACAAAATCAGAGGTCACAATACAAAAAGGGAATTGTACATTTGCCCCTGCATAGTGCATTTTTAGATTTTAATCATTTCTCAACGTGCTTCTATGTAACTGAACCCTGAATACATTTTGTCACAGATTACAAGTAGCATGAGATGAGACATCATACCACTCTTGATCCTAGTCATACATGAGTCATTTGACGTTCTCCAATGAAAGATCAATTCCAGTTGAATCCATACTGATGCTGTAACCAATAAATTCAATCACCCCAAAATATGCAAGTTACTCACATGACAGGATGTAGGCAACATGCTTTCCTACTTTCTCCCTTGTTTCTTTTCTGCCACATGAAATTTTACCCATTGGGATTATTATAAATTGCCCAGAAATTCACCATCATTTATTCATATTTAATTATAAGCATCCACATCTTAAAGGATACTTGCTTCTTAGAAAAAGTATAAGGGGGGGTTATTTTATTGTTACTGATTTTACAAGTCACATAAATAAACAAACTGCAGCTGCAGAAGTCAAAGTGGGAGTTCCACTGACTAAGGAAATAAAGGGAAGGAATGGAGTGGAGGAACCAAGAGACAGAAAGGAGGAAGGAGTTCTTGCCTTATCAGAGACTGAGAAGAGCACAGACTGAGGAAGCTGGGTTTAAGGGCTTGTCTACACTTGCAACAGTGCCATTGTAGTATTTAGTGAAGAGGCTACCTATGTCAACAGGAGAGTTTCTCTCATGGTACTCCCGAGGTGGTAGCTATGTCAATGGGAGAAGCCCTCTTATCAACACCGGGCTGTTTACCACAGAGTTAGATCAGAAAGAGTCCCGTGCGGCTACAAAATTTATATCCACAAAAACGAGCCAGAGATATAAAGCAATGAAGGTAACTTACACTAATCTTTTGTCAGGCTTTAATAACTTGTTGGAGAATTCACTGATGATTAACAGAAAGCTTAAGTTTGGTGGCAGGCATTTCCCTTCTACTCCAGCAGCTCCTTGGAAGGCAAATTCAATCCCTTCTCTATTTAGAGGGGAAAATATAAGAGGGACAAGGTAATTTAACAGAGAAAAAGACGACAATGCCCCTGACAGATAATATATAGTTATGTGGAACATACTTGTGTATCATGGCTACTGATTCTCTGGATTTCACTTGATCCCAGCCAAATGTCAGTGAAAAGCGACGAGCAAGTTCTTTAATATTTGTGAAAGATGAATCCATGCTGTTCGTACTACCATGGGTTTCTGTATGTTTCTGAAACAGCTGCAAAATCACAAACATCCATGTGTAAACTTCCAGGGGACAAAAGCACAAGGAGAACACAACAGCCATACAACACTTGCCTCAGTTAGCGAGAATCCTTGGAAAGAAAACTGACAAGTACAAAACAAATTCATTTGTTGAAGAATCACAGTCACTTGGAACTTGAGAGGTGTGAGCACCGGTTTGGGGCAATCTCTGCAAAGGATGCCTCTCCTTTTAGCAAGTAGGATCATATCAGCGTACAGCCCTACACACACAGGCCTCTAATCCTGCAAAGTGATGAGTGTCTGAGAGCAGTGGGTCTGGGCAGAGAGCTTAAACTCCCCAGAGGGTTAGGGAAAATCAGAGCATGTGTGCACAGCTGCTAGTTTTGAAAGAGAGGCAGCAACATTTGCCCATATAGCTACGGGCAGGACTGAGCCAAAAGAGACAGAGACATGTAGACGTTCTTGCTAAGTTTTTTCTAACAGAACATGTAGGTAGTTTGTTCCCTTCGACATGTACATTCTGAAGGTCAATGAAAGACCAACCTGGGCAAGCTGTCTATGTGATATGTAACACAGGCTTTCTGACTATGTGAGCAGAATCTGTGGCTAAATGCTGCTTGCCCTCGCTTTATCTCATATTTCAGGGGTTGGGTCATGGATCTAAGCTCCTGGCAAAGTGTGTGAAGTCAACAAAGTTCATGTATCAGTCACTTTAACAGGAGTCTGTTCTGCAACTCAGAGTATGACATGGATGCTGAGAGAACAGATGTCCATGAGGAAACCAGGCGAGAGCAGTTGCTAGAACAGATTAACTGGCTCAATACTGCAATAGCTATCACAGAGTTGATGTAACTAGAGAAGCAAGAGCATCCTCGGGTGTGTCCAATTTCTTCAATAAAAATGTAATTTAAATTTTCTAGTGAAGCACAGAAACACTGAGGGCCTGCTCCCAGAAGGCACTGAAAACCTCTAGAGAAATGCCAACTACTGCCAATTTCAGTGGAAGTTGAGACTACTCAGCACCATGTAGCAAGAGACCCTTAATCTGTGTCTTGCAACACAAGACTGTGCCATACTTGATTAATATTAACACCCTAAAAGATTTAAAATAAAAAAATCATGGTTACTCTTAGGCAAAAGCACCTACATGAATTCAAGAGAGTGACATTTTCACTACACATTTCAATTAGTTTCAAAAACTATGACAAGATAGGAAGAAAATTATAGTGCATGGATGGCTTTCATCAGAGTCCCTTTTCTCTTGCATTACTCTTACCTGCTGCAGGCATAGAACTAATGTCTTGGCGCTCTGGATTTTGTTGTTAAGCCTCATCCTGCTCAGAGTTTCTTTAATTATATCTCCAAAATCATTGTACGTCTATTAGTTCAAACAAAAAATAATACATACGTCACTGTCCTACTACAGCTCAATGTTCAGATGGGAATACACTCCTGATACACAGGAAAACTAAGAAAAATTGAACAATTCATAAAATATTCCAGGTCTCAGATATCTTGTTAAAAGGAACCTTATTACATGTTTTCAAAAGGATAATTTTATTTATGCTCCTTTGTAAAGTTCTATGAGAACTTTATTTCTCATGGAATTTTATTTAGTTCTCATAAAGTTCTCATAGAACTAAATAAAATTCTATTTATGCTCCTTTGTAAAGTTTTTTGTAAAGTTCTATGAGATCTATGGATGAAAACGTACTATAAAATAGTTCAGTATTATTCAGGAGGACTGAATCAGTGAGCTGAAAACAGAATATGGAGCTTTTCACACCTAGGCTACTGATTCACATCCAGCCCATTCCATATGGAGACCACGTTTAATCACCAGCAGACAGCTGTTGCAACTACCAATTCATTTCTCAATTTTTGAGGGATCCTAGTGACCAAGTGACACCGTCACAAATGGGACCTCTCTGGCAGCCTGTACAGAAGCCAAAAGATTAACGAGCAAGGAACTAAATGATCCTCTCATTTAGCAACTATTCATTCTACTCTCTGGTACCTTAGCAGAGCAGTGGAAACCCTACCACAACTTTTCATTTCTGCAAACAGATGACTCCAGCCTCCAAGGCTGTTAATTCAGCTCCTTCCACAAATACTAGTGACATTTGAATGGCATAGAGCAGGGGTGGGAAATAATTTTTGATGGGGGGGGCCACTCCAAGATTTTGGAAAGTGGTCAAGGGCCACACCCTTCCATGATATTAATGGAGATGTGGGGTCTGGAATGGAGGTTGGATGCAGAAGGTAGCTTGGGATAAGGGACTGGAGTACAGGAAGGAGACTGGAGTCTGGGAGGGAGTTGGGATGAAGCAGGTGGTTGTGACCTAGGGCAGGGGACTGGAGTACAGGGGTTTGGGATTGTGACCTAGGGTAGGAGGGGATTGTGATCTGGGGCAGGAGATTAGGGTGCTAGATCTGAGAGGGGGTATGGGTGTAAGAGAGGGACAGAGGGTTTGGGTATGTTGAGTGGGGGGGGCAGAGATTTGGGGGAGGAAAGGATTGGGGTGCCAGAAGCAGGCTGTGGCAAAGAGACTTACTTGGCAGCTGCCAAACTAGCCTGCCTGCAGAGCTTAAAATGTTTCCCAGCCAGCCTGCCTGGCCATGTGCTTCATGAATAACTGAGCCTAAGAGAGGGGTCATGATTCTTCTTAGCTGCCTTTTATTCTAACAAGCAGCTTCCATTGGCTAGTTTCCGCCAGAAACCGGCCAATGGGATTGTTCTGTGGGGGGGGAGGAGGTGTGGGAAGAGAGGGTGGCTCCTAAATCTTCCCCCCTCCCCTCCAGTTTCAAAACAGAAACGAGCCCTGCAGCTGCATTTCTGCATTGCACGCGGGGCTGCAGGACAAGCTGGGGAGCCTGCCTGGGGCTCCCCGCTGCCTCTGTGGGCTGGATCTGGGGGCTTGGCAGGATGGATCCGGCCCACGGGCCGTATTTTCCCCAGGCCTGGCATAGGGGCATTTTTAAAGCTAAGTGTTACCTTCATATAGTGCTTATAGATCTCAGCAGCTGCAGACATCTCCACCACAGCAAACACAATTAGCTTGCAATAGGCTGAAAGTAGACTCCGCCTCCTGTGCAAATCATTCAGCTTGTAGACCTCCTTTTCCCTCTCCTCCTCTTCTGTTAAGTCTAGGGAAATAAGCATTCTTTGGGTGACCATATTTCCCTATACCAAATATGAGACACCTTGTAAAATTGCTCAGATTTCAGTGAGTTCAAGGGCAATCGATCAGAACTATGCAGTATAAACATTCAAAATCACATTATGTTGAGCAACAACCCATTAAAAAGGCTTGCTGCATTATTTTAGAAATGTGCGTCTGTCTGACTGTCTTGTCTGTTCAAGAACTCTTCCTAAATGGTAAGAGGTAGGACCATCAAATTTGGTATGCTGCTTCCTGGTGTCCCAATTTAAAAGTAAGGTCAGGGTTTGGCTGTGCCAGAAAAACAGAATACACCTAGAAGTTGATTATTTTCCAGAACTTGGAAGGGAGAGGGCCGAATGGAGGAGAGCTATACTGCAGAGTGACCACTGGGGACAGCCATACCAGCAAGACAATGGCCGGCTGGAGCTCACTATCTTGCTAGCTACTGGACCAGGTAAGTGGCCCCCCTGCACCAAATTCCTCCCCCTCTGGTCCTTGGACCACACCGAGGGCCGTGCAGCACAGCCCCAGCCCCTGACCAGGAGATGCTGTATGGGGCCAGAAATCCCAGTCTGGCCCCACCTCCCCCAGGAGGAAATGCCAGGGGGACTGGGAACCACCATCTGGCTTCCCCCAGGAGATGCCAGGGGCACTGAAAACCATGGCCTGCCCCCATGGAAGAGACACCAGGAGGGCCAGGAACTGTGGCCTGGCCTGCACTCTCCCAGGAGACACTGTGGGCTACAGAAGCTGCATCCCCATCCTGGCCCTCCCACCAGTAGATGCTGGTGTGCTAGGAAATGCAGCCTGCCCCCACTGCAAGTAGAGACCAGGGGCTGCACAGCCCAGACCTGGTCCTGCCTCCCCCACAAGCAGAAGCTGGGGGTCAAACAGCTCCCCCCACAGGAACCGCTGGCTGGAGGGCAGGCAATGCATCCCCAGTCTTGTGAGATAAGCTGGTGGCCCTCCTCACAACACTGCAGGATCCCCTAGGGCAGCACAACCCCAAGCCTCCAGAAAGAGCTGCATCTGGAGCAGTGCCAACCTTGCCACCAGGTTGCCCCGGTAAGCCCTCCCTCACCTCCATGCCTTGAGCCCCCCTACCCTGATTTATACCCCACTACTCTGAGCCACCAACTCCTGCCTTAACTCCTGCTTCCCCACCCCTGCCTTCAGCCCCCCACCTGAAACCCCAGCCCTGAATCCCACACTGCTCCCTAGCCCCCTGTCCTCACTGCTCTACCTCCTCGCCTCCTACCTGAGCCCCCACTAGGATCCAGGCAATGCTGGGTAAAGCCAGTCTAGTACCTAATACAGTAAACTTCCGATAATACGGCACCTTTAGGACCCAGGGGGCACTGGATTATCAAATATGCCGGACTATTGGAAAGGGAGGGGCTATGAAGGGTGTGGGGGGGATGCGCCCCTCGGCGCTGCGGAACCAACCCGGCAGCACCCCAGCTGTTCTGCCCCCAGCTTCCCCGATTCAGCCGCTGGTCAGTTTTAGCAGTGGCTAAATCGGGGAAGCTGGGGGCAGCGC